AGGTGTGTGTATTGTAGGAGCTAGACGATGTATGATGACGTGTGACGGCATAGTAGTGTTGTCCCAATTCTTAGGGGAATATTTTCACCCCTACCCCTTGACACTCTGTTTCAAGGGAGAAGGGGTAGGCGGAGGGGAAGGGGTATAAAATAGAATTGGGATTGGGCCTAAATCTTTCATCAAAATGAACAGTAATCACCTGCTCCACCTCTGAAACAACTTTCCTTTTTGGCTGACATCAGGAATCCCTTTTACTTTTAACCCCTCCCCCTTTCATTCTGGAAAGTAACACCCACTTTTCAGGAGCCAATCAATTTCCTGAATAAATTCAAGTCCCGCCTTAAATGTTTTTTCTCATTGAATATCCCATTTCATTCAGAAATACATCAGATTGCAAAAGTAAATTGGGTTGCAAATACAATTTCATTTAGATTTTAAAGTATTGTTTTTACCAACAAAGTAATTTAAATATAAATTAGAAATTATAATGAGTAAATGTTTTTAAATCCATAAACGGGGTTTTCTACAGAATGTCAATTTTTACATGTTTGTATTTTTCTGTGTACATTATTGCTTTTTTTGTTCTTCACTATGTAAATCTTATTTAATTGTTTGCGAAGCATTTTTACTATTTAATTTAATGTGCAAGTTCTGTTTTATTAACTAAAATATAACTTGCACATTGAATCAAATAGTAAAATGTTCTAAAAATAAGATATTTTTCCCCCCATAAAAAAATCTAATAAACCGAATGCAGTACATGTTTAAGCAGATTATTGGACGTGGTCCAGCGTCTCTACACTGGAATGCAGCTGAACTTGACTAATCTGTTCAAACCAGAGGCCTTGGCAAAGAGTTGTTTACCAGACTGTTGCTTAGTCAGTGCTTTTAGTTGAGACCGTTAAAGGAGAAGTGCTCTGGAAAATCTTCACCAGTCTGTTTAGTTATTTTTGAGCATTATGTCTGGTGTTGCTGACAGTTTGTATAACTTCTAATTGAGTGAATCATGCACACTTTAAGTTTTAAGGGGTCAGTTTATGCAAAAAGATAAATTTTGGCACCCATTTCTCATTCTCATGTTATTCTGAGTTATTCTTTTGTACATGAAATGCAAAATGAAATTTAAGTCAGAATGCTCAAGCTGTTCTTTTAAGCTTGTTCTAAATTCAAATGGTGCTTTTTTAAAAACGCTGTGCAGGTTTGACAACATTGACAGGTTTAAATGGTGAGTAAGTGATAGCCCTTTAAAGTTGCTCTGCATCTTCAGGTTAAATCAGTATTCCATACACAATATACACGTGAACACACATTGACTTTCTGAGCTGTCTTCCTCTAGTGCAATTTTCACACGTATTGTCTCACAACACAAGGAAATCCTGTTATTTTGGGGGTGATCGGGGGGGTTGCGGATTCAAAGAATACATCATCCACACCCAGACCCCAGATGCTTTCAAGTGAAATCTATAGAAGCATATTCCAGATGCCACATGTTTGCATCGGTCTGTTTTGGCTTCGTGATGAAAGACCTCACTTGGTTATTGAACAATGAACCAGAGGACAATGTGAACTTTGATCATGTGTTCATGGATCAGTAGGAATGACCTGATGTGACACAGATTCAGGGCAGTGCTGCATTGTTTCATTCATCAGGTGTTTACATGTGTTTTTATCCCCCTGTCAAGCCTAAACATTTGGCTTTATGTCATTAAGGTAGGGCTGCCACTAACGACTTTTTTTATTTTTTATTAATCTATCAACTAATTTATCGATTAATCTAAACGATTAATTTCCCGCAAAAAATCAACAATTTTACTTAAGAATATTTTATTAAACTATATTTTATCAAACCAAATGAAATCCAAATTTCTATGAAATCCTTTTTTTAAATGGACATAAATGTATTGCTATTTTAGTAATTTAAATAGCATGGGTTATCCCAATATATTGACATTGTATTATAATATTACACCACCCAAATATTTACTGTCCATTATGGATTCATTTCATGACTCTAGACACTTCTTTGTGAAGACAGTGGCATAATACAGTGAAATATGTTCTTTAGCCATATAAATACAGTTGTCATGTGCATGGGTAAAATTTACCCGCTGGTGCTTTTAGGTATACAGTGAACTCTGGCGGTTCTAGTGTTAAAATTACTTAAAATACATATATAATAGCAATCAGGCAATAATAATTAGTTCAAATAAAGTATCAAAAGCAAGAAATCATATGGTTTTATTGAACAAAACTGTTCAAATACATAATGTATTATAAACAATAGAGCTAATGTACATTATGCATTACAACAAAGGCCTGCAGGGGGCGCAAACGGCCTGATGATTATTTTTACACATTACTGTGCGATCTAATACTTGTTTAATATTGACCAAGCACCATTTAATTCAAATGTCCACTTAATCTTTAATATTTGGCCATTTCCTTAGGACAGAAATGCTATAGCCACTGTAATTAAAAGAATATGTGGACATCAAAACGTGTAAACTTAGAGTGAGGGTTTGAGCTTTTATTTTAAAACCAATGTATTCTCTGTAGTATGTATTCTCCT